TTGATTTTGGATGTATGAAAATAATTCCAGAAGAATTTTATGTGCCGTATTTTGAGTTAATTAATAAAAATGTAATTACTGATAAAGCACTTTTTAATCAAAAGTTGTTCGAGTTAGAAATCCTTCGTCCGGATGATACTCCGGCAGAAATCGAGTATTTCACTGAGATGTTTCATGATTTGTTATCCCTTTTTACGAAACCATTCCAAAATGAAACTTTCGATTTTGCTGATGAAACTTTCTTTGACAGCATTGCCAAATTAGGCGAACGTTTCTCTAATGATACTAACCTCAAAAAAATGAACGGAAATCGTGGATCTAAACATTTCATTTATATGAACCGTACCTTCTTTGGTTTGTACAATTTAATGTTTGATTTGAAAGCGAAGATTGTCGTTAGTAATTATCTAAAATATTAGAAGAAAATAATCTTCCGAGAATCAAAACAAACATCAAAAAAATGAGAAATATTGTAATCATCGGAGGCAGTAAAGGTATCGGAAGTGCTATTTTGTTGCAACAGCTAGAGACAAATCGGGTTTATAATATCAGTAGAAGCGTACCAAAGCTAACGCATCCTAACCTTACGCATTTTAGTTTAGATGTTTTAAAGGACGAACTTCCGGATATTGCAGAAGTCGATACTTTAATTTACTGTCCTGGCTCAATTACGCTAAAACCTATTTCGAATTTAAGTGTTGATGATTTTAGAAACGATTTTGAAATCAATGTTGTTGGTGCTGTAAAATCGATTCAAAAATATTTGCCTGTTTTAAAAAGAGGTTACGAATCTTCGATCGTTTTATTTAGTACCGTTGCCGTAAAATTAGGAATGCCTTTTCATGCCAGTATTGCAACGGCAAAAGCAGGTGTCGAGGGTTTGACAAAATCTCTGGGAGCTGAGTTGGCAACTGTAGTCAGGGTTAATGCAATTGCACCTACAATTACTGAGACTTCGCTTTCGGCTTCCATCTTGCGAAACGATCGCATGAAAGAAAATATGGTCGAGCGCCATCCTATGAAAAATTATTTAAAACCTGACGAAGTTGCAAATATGGTTGATTTCCTGATTTCTGAAAAAGCAAATTCCATTTCAGGTCAAATTTTCGAAATGGATTATGGTTTAGTGAATTTTAAAATTTAAACCAGCATGAAAATTCTCTTAACAGGCGCAACAGGGTATATTGGCAAACGTCTTTTACCGATATTAGTGGCCCAAGGACATCAGGTAATTTGCTGTGTAAGAGATAAAAACAGATTTTACATACCTACAGATTTTCTGCAAAAAGTACAAGTCATTGAAGTCGATTTTCTTGAAAAAGAAACACTGACAGCAATTCCTGCTGATATCGATGCTGCTTTTTATCTCATTCATTCCATGTCGGGTTCTGATACCAATTATGATGAATTAGAAAGTATTTCAGCAGCTAATTTTACCGAAAGAATAAATCAGACTCAGGCACAACAAATCCTCTACTTAAGCGGAATCGTAAACGATAAATCACTTTCTAAACATTTGGCTTCCCGTAAAAATGTCGAAAGTATTTTAACCAAAGCAAAAGTGCCGCTGACTACTTTAAGAGCCGGAATTATAGTAGGATCGGGGAGCGCTTCATTCGAAATTATCCGCGATTTAGTCAACAAACTTCCGGTGATGATTACTCCCAAATGGCTCAATACAAAATGCCAGCCTATTGCAATAAATGATGTTTTGGAATTTCTTTCGAAATCACTTTTAAATCCGGTAACTTACAACCAAAGCTTTGATATTGGCGGTCCGGATATTTTAACCTACAAGGAAATGTTATTGGCTTTCGCCGAAGCAAAAAATCTCAAACGGTACATTTTTACTATTCCCGTCATGACACCTAAATTGTCATCATATTGGTTGTATTTTGTTACCTCAACGTCATATAAACTGGCATCGGCTTTGGTAAGCAGTATGAAAGTCGAGGTTATTTGCAACGATCATCGCATTAATGAGCTTTTGCGAGTGAACCCCATGACCTATAAACAAGCGCTTTCGAGAGCTTTGATCAAAGTCCAAGAAGATAAAGTGGCCTCAAGCTGGAAAGATTCCCTTGTAAGCGGACGTTTTAACCGCAATATCTCAGCACATCTAAAAGTTCCTAAAAAAGATTGTTACATCGACCGAAGAAAAAAGGAAATCGAAAATCGCGATTATACCATAGATAGAATCTGGTCAATAGGAGGCGAGACAGGTTGGTATTACGGCGATTGGCTCTGGAGTTTACGAGGCTTTATCGATAAGCTTTTTGGTGGCGTAGGTTTGCGCCGTGGCCGAACCAATAAACACGACATTCATTCCGGTGATGCTTTAGATTTTTGGCGTGTTTTATACGCCAATAAACAAGAAGGAAAACTGATCTTATACGCCGAAATGAAACTTCCCGGTGAAGCCTGGCTCGAATTCAAAATCATACACAATACTTTATATCAGGCTGCAACCTTCAAACCCAAAGGTATTTTAGGAAAACTATATTGGTATTCTGTTTTACCGTTTCATGGTTTTATTTTCAACGGAATGCTTAATAAATTGATTAAGTAGGTTTAGGAGCTGTTTCCTGCTAACCGCTATATCTTTTGTGGATCGCGATAGCTATCCAGGCTAGGGATACAGTTTTCATAAAAACTTTTATCTATTAATATTTACAACCTCAATCTTGTCATCTCGGAATAATTTTTATTCTAAAAAAACAATATAAAATGACATTTACCGCAAAGTGCGCAAAGGTTTGCACAGGGTTCACTAAGCTTTGTCTTTATTTCGCTTTGCTTTGAGATCACTAAGGGATTGTGAAATAAGCTTTGCCATGATAGGCAGATGACACGGATTTGCTTTGCAAAGACTCGGATTTAAACAGATTTTTTATTTAATTCCAAAAAACGTCATTGGTAGGAACGAGGGATCACACTAGTAACTCGACAAAGATTAGAAATTCATTTTTATTATAATAACAAACCCGACAGGTTTTTAAAACCTGTCGGGTTTACTTTTAGGAATGGAGTTTCTTGCAGAGATCTTTCCTTCGTTAGGATGACAAGATTGGGGTAAAAGTTTCGAAAAGTATTGGAATTTGGAATTAAAAAAAATGGAATTTTACTTAATGATTCCCTTCTTATAAGTCTCAATAGCACGATCCCTCGCAAAAGCATGATCCACCATAGGCTCATTATATCCTAAATCAAATTCCGGAATCCATTTGCGAATGTAGATTCCTTTTTCGTCGAATTTCTTTTGTTGAATTTCCGGATTAAAAACCCTGAAGTATGGTGCGGCGTCGCATCCTGTTCCTGCAGCCCATTGCCAGTTGCCTACGTTTGATGCCAATTCGAAATCCAGTAATTTCTCAGCAAAATAAGCTTCGCCCCATTGCCAGTTTATGAGTAAATGTTTGCACAGGAAACTTGCTACTACCATACGAACGCGATTGTGCATATAACCGGTTTCGTTAAGCTGGCGCATTCCGGCATCGACCATAGGGTAACCCGTAGTCCCAGAACACCAACGTTTAAAATCTTCTTCGTTATTTCGCCATTGAATACCATCATAAGCCGACTTGAAATTGTGATTGACACAATTTGGGAAGTTAAACAGAATCTGGATAAAGAATTCTCTCCAGATTAATTCGCTCAAAAAAGTCTGGTTTTTCTTATTCGCCCAATTGACTAATTTACGGATACTAACCGTCCCAAAACGTAAATGTGGTGAAAGATAAGAGGTGCTGTCTAAAGCTGGAAAATCTCTGGTTTCTTTATAATTACCTATTTGGGTTAAGTTGTGCGGAAATACTTTTATAGTGCTTCTTTCAAAACCTATTTGGGATAGTTCAGGAAAAGTAAATTGATTTTTGGCAAAATTGCTGAACAAAGGTTTTGTATCATATTCAAAAGCTTGTCCTGAAAGATGGTATTTCTCCAGCCATTTGTTTTTATAAGGCGTGTAAATCGTGTACGGAAGTCCATCAGCTTTGTTGATTTCTTTTTCTTCAAAAATCACATGATCTTTGAATGAGAAAGCTTCTATGTTATTTTTTTTTAATAAAGCTGAAATAGCCAAATCACGTTTTATCGCGTAAGGTTCATAATCTTTATTGAAGAAGATTTGCTGAATATCGAATTCTTCTGTAAGTGATTTCCAAACGTCGAAAGTTTTTCCTTTTTTGATTAATATAGAGGAATCAATTGCGTGAAGTTGTTTGTTTATGGCTTTGAGCGAATCATAGATAAAACTAACGCGCGCATCATCTTTAGGAAGATTTTCCAGGATATCTTGATCAAAAATAAATAGCGGGATTACCGGGAATTCAGATTGCAGGGCATTGAATAATCCGATATTATCATCTAGACGTAAATCACGTCGAAACCAGAAAAAAGTAACTTTTTGTTTTGTCATTATATTATATTTCTTTTATCACAGATTAAAGGATTTTGGTTTCACGCAGATTCTGCAGATTTATTTTTGATTTTAATTTAATAAATCTGTGTGTATCTGCTTAAATCTGTTTAGATCTGCGTTAAAAATTACTATTCATCTGTGACAGACTATTATTTTGAATTGAATAGTTCTTCGGTTTTTTTGTGGCGATAGTCAAAAATGGATTTCAGTTTATTCCTGACCATTATTGTATTGGCGAGTTGGCCTAAAAAACCAAATGGTAAGGCATAATGTACCACATCGGTCATTTTTGTGCCGGTTTCTGTGGGTTCAAAAAAGTGTTTGTGATGCCATAATGCGTAAGGACCAAAACGTTGCTCGTCTACAAAATATTGGTTTTCTGATGAAACGGTTATGATGGTCATCCAATTTATTTTAATGCCCAAAAGTGGTTTTAAAGTATAGGTAATTACTTGTCCCGGATACATGCGTTTGCCATCGAAATCCTCAATTACGAAACTCATATCATCAGGTGTTATGGTTTGTAGGTTTTGTGGACTGGAAAAAAAGTCCCAACATTTTTCGATACTGGCGTTTAAGTGTTGTACGGTTTCTAGTTTATATACTTTCATAAAATTGATTTACATTTTACTTGTTGGTTATTTTTTAACACATAGTGACCTAGATTTTGAATGATCAAAAAAGCGTTTCACTTATCTAAATGCACATAGCTATCTGTAAATAATGTATTATTTATTTTAATCTTCTTTAAAAAGAAAAAATCTATGTTTCTATGTGTTATTTTTTCGTACCAACGGTTTACATTTTATAATATTTGAAAGGAACGAATAACATCCCGAAGCATTCTCCGTGTTCTTTTCCTAAATGTTTGTGGTGTATTTTATGGGCTTTTCGCAAACCAATGAGGTATTTATTTTTGGTGTTTTTGAACCATTTAAATCGCTGATGAATTAGAACATCATGAATTAAAAAATAGCAAGCGCCGTAAGTCGTGACGCCGCAAGCGATGAAAAACAAATAATTGAAGCCGCCCTGAACGCCAAAATAAAAAAGAACAATACTTGGAATGGCGAAAATGACAAAGAAAATATCGTTGCGCTCAAAAGTATCTTCGTATTTGGGTTGATGATGATCTTCGTGAAAATACCACATAAGTCCGTGCATGATGTATTTGTGTGTAAGCCAGGTAACACATTCCATGAAGAGAAAAACGCCTAAAAAGATGAAGAAAGAAATCATTTTTTATGTTTTGAATTGTTATTATAATTAAACTCAATCAATCTTGTCATTTCGACGAAGGAGAAATCGCACTATCCCGAAGCTTCGGAACATAAAGAAAAGCGTCAATCTTTGTCGATTAACGAGTGTGATTTCTCGTACCTCGAAATGACAAAAAATGCGAAATCTAAACCAGTTTTAACTTGTAAGTTACAAAAGATTGCGCTAAAAGCCCGGCTTTTGTATAATTTGAGACTCTTATTCGTGAGCTTCCAATTTCGTAATATGGTGTTTTTTTTAGTTTTTTTAGTAATTTTTTGTAATAGATATAAGCGGTGTAAACCCCAAATTGTGCTTCGATAGGCAATTTTACAATTCCCTGATAGGCGACTCTGAAATCTTCTTCGATTTCGTTGATGATGGTGGTTTTGGCATTTTCGTCGAAAGAATTTAAATCGACTCCGGGAAAATAATTTCGGTTTAAAACCAAATTATCATCTTTAAGATCCCTCAGAAAATTCACTTTCTGAAATGCCGATCCTAATCGCATCGCTTCGTTTTTCAACTGCTCGTATTTTTGATGGTTTCCTTTTACAAAAACTTTCAAACACATTAAACCCACAACATCGGCAGAACCGTAAATATAATCTTCGTACTCGGTTTGGGAGCTGTAGGTTGATTTGATGAGGTCTAATTTCATACTTTTAAGGAAAGCCTGAACAAGATCATCGGTAATATTGTATTCCTTTACGGTATGCTGAAACGAGTTGAGGATAGGGTTTAAGCTAATGCCAAACTCAACGGCTTTGTAATATTCTTTTTCGAAATCATTGATGAGGTTTTCTTTGTCGTAATCATGAAATGAATCGACAATTTCGTCAGCAAAACGCACGAATCCGTAGATGCTGTAAATCGCTTCGCGAATGCTTGGTGATAGCATTTTGACTGCCAGCGAGAAGGATGTACTGTAGTTTTGGGTGACCAATTTGCTACATTTGAAAGAAACGGTGTCGAATAGTGATTTCATTTTTTACGATCTAAAAGATTTTTGAATTAACTCGGCTACTAGTTTTCCTGAAATTAAAGCAGGCGGAACACCTGGTCCGGGAACGGTTAATTGTCCTGTGAAATATAAATTACGAACTTTTTTACTTTTTAGTTTTGGTCGTAAAAAAGCCGTTTGCAATAAGGTATTCGCCATTCCGTAAGCGTTTCCTTTGTAAGCGTTATAATCGGTTACGAAGTCATTCTTGCAAAATGATCTTTTAAAGATAATGTTATTTTTAATTTCTTGTTGGGTAAGCTGCTCAAAACGAGTGATGATTTTTTTGAAATATTCTTCTCTAAGTGCTTCACTGTCATTAATTCCCGGCGCTAACGGATAAGAAAAAATCCGCTTTCCTTGCCTTGCGGTGCTGCGCTTTGATCTGTTTTTGATGGAAAATTGGCATAGAACAAAGGGGCATCGGGCCATTTTGGTTCATCGTAAATATCTGCTGCATGTTGGTTGAAATCGACATCAAAAAATAAAGCGTGATGCGAAATGTTTTCAATTTTTTTATCAAAACCCACAAAAAACAAAAGCGACGATGGCGCGAAAACGCGGCTTTCCCAATATTTCTCTGAATAGGCGCGGTGCTCGATATCCAGTAAAGTTTCGGTATGATGATAATCGGCTCCGCTTAAAATGACATCGGCTTGTATCGTTTTTCCGTTGATGACGATTGCTGTTGCGGTTTTATTCTCGACTACTATTTTTTCGATAGCAGCATTGGTTTCAATCGTAACACCAAGTTCGAGAGCCAGTTTTTCGATGCTGCGAACAACATCGAACATTCCGGTTTTGGGGTGCCAGGTTCCTAAGCCAAAATCGGCATAATTCATAAAATTATAGAAAGATGGTGTTTTGGTAGGTTTTGCGCCCAGAAATAAAACGGGAAATTCCAAAATCTGAATTAGTCGTTCGTTTTTGAATTTCTTGCGAATATCAGTACTTACGGTGCTAAAAAACTGATTGAGTTTTTTAGTGGTTTCAACGGTAATTAATTCCAGAGGAGAAACTCCGGGACGATACACCAAATCTTTAATCGCAATATCATAATTGCTTTTAGCCTGCTTGATGAAAGTTTCGAGTTCATGGCCACTTCCTTTTTCGATACTTTCAAAAGTGGTTTTTATTTCTTCGAGATTGTCATATATACTGATGAAATCATCTACTCCAAAATAAACCCTGTAAGCAGGATTTAGTTTATAAGCTCGTAATAATCGGTAGTTTTTTATTGAAATCCTGAAAGAAACGTTCAAATACATCTGGCATCCAGTACCAGCTTGGTCCCATATCAAACGTGAAACCCTCTTTTTTGAACTGTCTTGCCCTGCCGCCAATAGATTCGTTTTTTTCATAAAGAGTCACTTTGTTTCCTTGTTGTGCCAAGTAACATGAAGCGGCTAACGCAGAGAAGCCTGATCCTATTATTGCTATTGTTTTTTTCATTTGTTTAACAAATGTACAAAAACTTTAAACAAAATTAGCTTATAGCATGCTAATTGTTTCTTCCATAGAGTCGAAAATTCGTATTCTTTCGGGCAGCATTTTCTGGTCAATGTTTTCGACCATATTGCCCATAAGCCAAATTTCGTTGTTTTTTTGGAGTAATTTTTGCCCCATTGATTTTACATATTGATTGATAACACTGCGATCCGGCTGCACTGTCATGAAAGATATAAATGTAATATTCTCGAAATGT